GATGCTGCTTGGCCTGCTGTGTTCATCCAGCCCTGCATCTTGTTGTCTCGGATTCTCCAGCATCTGCAGTTCCTACTATCTCTGATTCGTACTCCTTTTAAACTCACTTTTATCATCATCCCAGATTTAATGCTTATTTTTCTCAACATTTTGTTAGTCTTTTTTTTGTGGCTTTGCCCCATGAATATTCATTCTTAGTAAGTTCAGCTGACATTTCTATTCACCAAAGCCTATGCACCATACTGGCAATATTCATTTTTTTCCAAATCCAAACCCATTTCAACTCATACATTTTCTTCAGTTTACTGTATTATCACCCTGAGAAATCGTCAAAGGCTTCAGCTGCTCTCTCTTCCTTTCCTATATATTCCTGCTGTCCTTAACATCCAGAGACTTTAATTAGTTTCCAATAATAGTAAGGTTAACCAGTCTGTTAGGACATGCAATGATATATTTTAGGGGCAAGTGGGTCTTGAATCTAGACCTCCCAGCCAAGAGGTAAGGACCCTACTACTGAACCACCTACCTTTTAGCTTCCAATTAAATGCTGATAACATTCACCTCTAGCTCTTTATTACCTCCCTTATGTCCTCAAATACCAGAATACTTTCAGATGGTAAATGCCTTCTGGAAATCTAAATGCAGTACAACCATGCATTCCACTTTATCCGCAGTACATGTAAATTCTTCAAAGAATTTCAATGCATTGGTCTAACGTGATTTCCCTTTCACAAAACCCATGCTGCCTCTTTCGAATGAGCTTGAACTTTAAAGTGCACTCCTGTAACTTGTTTTATCATAGCTTCTAATGTTTTCCCTGTGACAAATGTTAAGCTAATTGGCTTTTGCTTCCTGTTTTCTGTCTATCTTCTTTCTGAACAAAGGAGTTACCCATGCTATCTTCCCGTGCAATAGGACTTTCCCAAAATCAAGGGAGTTCTGGAAAATTAAAGCCAATGCGAGGGCTATTTCACTAGCCACTTCCTTTAAGACCTTAGAATGAATCCCATTAAGTTTGGTGTACTTGTCAGCAGACAGATCCAACAATTTCCTCAGTTCCACTTCCTCCCTCCCTTCCATTTCCTGATTAATAGCTGCTCCTGGGATATTATTTGTCTCCATGTTGAAGGCAGATGCAAAATAGCTGCTCAGTTCAACTACCATCTCTTTGTTTCCATTCTTAATTCTCCAGACTTAAGTTTATAAGACTAACACTCACTTTGTTAATTCTTTTCTTTTTAAAATATTAATAGAAACTCTAACTATCTGTGTTTTTTTATTTTTAGGTAGTTTCTTTTCATACTCTAATTTTTCCCTACTTAATTTTTGGTCATTCTTTGCTATTTATTATATTCTAACCTGTCACTGCTCTTTGCACAACTATATTTTTATTTCAACACTATTTTTAACATTTCTTCCTCTTGGGGCTTTCCTTACCCATTGAAATGTATCTACTCTGTGTACTTTGAAATTTCCTTTTAAATGTCTGCTACCTATCTCTGTTGATGTATCTTTTAATCTTATTTGCTAATTCACATTAACTAGCTCTGTTTTCATGCCTTCATTGTTGCCTTTATATAAATTTTAATAAATTATCTTCCATCTCTCCTCCTCCCACAAAATGAAAGTAAAATTCAAATGCAACTACTATCTAGGGGCACCTTTATGATAAGATCATGAATTAATCCTCATTGCACAATACCTAGGTCTAGGACAGCCTGCTCTCTGGTATTGTTCAAAGAGACTATCCCCAAAACATGTTATGAGCTCTTCATCCAGTTTACCTTTGCCCATCTGATTTCCCTTCTGTATGGAGCCTAAACTCTCCCAATATATCACTTTGCCTTTCTGACAAGCTACCATCATTTCTTCCTGTATTTTCCATCCTACTATGTGGTTATTGTTTGGAGACCTGTGCATTACTCCTCATAAGTGACATCTTGCTTTTAACATTTCTCGTCTCCACCCAAATCATTGTACAGCTTGGTTTCCTAAACTTAAGTCATCTCTCTCTATTCTGCTAAATCCATCACTAACTAATAGATCCACACCTGCACATTTCCCTAGTTTCCCATTCTTCCTGAGTATCCTGTAACCTTCAAGAATTAAGTCCAATCCAAGTCATCCTGTAGCCTTGTTACCGTAGTAACTGATCATACCAAAGGACATGATGATTGGCCAGGTGCTGAAGAGTGAAGAAGGATTTGGGTTACAGGAGGATATAGATGGATTGACCAGATGGGCAGATCATTGGAAGATGTAATTTTAATAAAATAGAAATTGTTGGAAAAGCTCAGCAGGTCTGGCA